CACACACACACACACACACACAACACACACACACACACACACACACACACACACACACACACACACACACACATATATATATATATATGTATATATATATATATATATTATGGCTTACAACCTATATCTGAATTCATGTGTTAGTTGTGTGACTCACTATCTTATTGAGATTACGTATACTTATTTGTACAAGTTATTGGATATAATATCGTTCGATATACACTACTGCATTGAGTTTTATGCATTCGAGCTTGTAGGACTGTTTGTGCATTTGTGAATCAGATCTATATTCAGATACGTTTTTGACCTAATCTGCCTAATGAGAATCCTGCAGTCTGCATGAGCTCTCAAATGGGTGTCTCTTATAAATCGCAACAAGTGTTTAAGCTCTCATCTCTCTGGTCTGTCTATCAACAGGACATTGATTGGTTGCAGAAAAACCACTGTTTCGATTGCACCTACACCTCCAGCCAGGTACCTATCAGTTCAAGTAATCGCGCGAACGATCCGATGCAAACAGACAGCTCAGCGCCATCCAAACAGGAGAGCAGCAGGCAAGGATTAGACGCGCGTGGGGATGAAGAACAGTATCGCGACACTCTCGTGAGTCGAAGTGCTGGCGAGGATGAACGAGATGATGTTCTGAGTGCTGCGTATGTTTTGGGCGCGATATCGTCTCAGAAGTCATCCCCAAAGGAGCCGCTTACAGGAACTCAACCAGTAAGCGGAGGGGATATGTATCGAGACAAACAGGGCAGCGATATGGCTATAGATGGCGAGCAAGCGTCTAGCATGGACACCGACACACAGCCGTGTACGTGGGAGGGCTGTGGACATATCAGCCAAACACTGGAGGACATGTTAACCCACATGCGCACACACACCATGTCGAGCCTACCTCCGAGGCGCACCCGTACCAAGCGAGAAGTCGGGACTGGGAGATACTTGTCGGGCATAGCCCCACAACCGGCCAAGGCTGGCAAGAGCGGACTGTTTCCGAGTGTTAACGTTAAGGAGCATCATTTGGAGAGGTCGGTATCGCAACCACCGCCGCTCTTAGGCGACCGTTTCGTGAATCGCACAAAGAGTGCGAAGACTGAGCGTGCAGTGAGCATGCACATGGACTCGCACGCACTGGCAAGTCCCAATGCAGATCCAAAGGCCGGACCAGGTTCTGGTACCGGTATATCGGGGTCAGCTGATGACAAGTGCCCGCGGAGTGAAGGGGAGAATTATCATCCTAGCCACCGCAGCAAGGGCGATAATAGTATAGAGATAGACAAGTTACGGGCACACATGGCGGAAGTGAACGCGCAGGAACCGGGCCAGGATTTATTTGCGACTTCGAGCGGCGGTTCGTCTATTGTTGGGCATTTGAGAACACCCGAAGTATCAGGCATAGATAGGCGATCGTTTGCCGCCCCTGACCCAAACCATCCGCAAAATCGGGGTTTTGTGATGGATGGTAGTTCGGCGAATAATCGAGCGACGACGGAGTCAGGGGGACCGGCTTCCAGAGCTTCAAGTCTGAGAGAGCAAGGCAGTGAGAACGGTTCGCGGTATGAGGCAGACGAATCTGTGCGCAGGTACCGAACTTTTCCCCTAGAGTCTCCACGAACGGTGGCGATGAGGGGCGTGCCATCAGCAGAAGATAGAGATAAGTGCCAGGAACACGACACAGGGGCCAGAGATGTCATGAGGGAAAGCGGGAGTGGTGCTGGGAAGTTGCACAGCTGTGACTGGGACGGGTGCACGTATACGGGCACGTTGGAGGGGCTCCTAAAACATATGCGAGAGCACACGCTGTCGGTGCTGTACCCCATCGCGGATATGAAGGGCGATACAGGCAACCAGGGGTATGCACGGGAGAGACAGGAAAAGCCTGTAGACGGTATAAGATCACGTGGACACTCGAGCTCGCCGCCAAGGTACTCGATTCCTGGCCGTAACGCAGCCAGCGCTCAGAAGTCGGCGGTGAAGCTCAACGGGGCTATGCCCAGAACCAGACGCGGTACGCAATCAAGACTTAGTCAACAGCGCAGCATAGACGCAGTTGCGCGCTCGGACAGGGAGACAGAGGCCCTCAGGGAGCGAGCGTACAGGATCGAGAGAGATAAGCTGCCGAGGGGCGAGGCTCCGGTGTCCGAGGACCAGTACGCAGGGAACTCGCAGATGTACGACCGAATCAAGTATATGGAGGATGACATGACGGACGAACGGGATCGCGACTTCAAGGAAACACGCGCGTATACTAACGATGTGCTGGACAAGCGATCGCGGCCGAGCCGGAGGTATGACTACAAGTACGATGACGAGTACAGCGACAGAGGTGTCAGCGCAGAACGAGGGGGAGAGGGAGAGAGGGTCGGCATGGGGGATAGGCTGGACGGGGACACCGAGGGTATGGCACGGTCAGTCTCAGGGGTGGATGACGAGGGTCCGCTCACCACTCATAAGGTGCCCTCAACACATAGCCTACCACCCGCTGCCTCGGCCGAAGATATCGCCGCACAGGAGCACGCGGAGTCCCAGATACAGGGGCGGGTTACGTTCTCGAATACCATGCCTCTAAACCGACCCCACTCAGCCTCACTAGAGCGCGAGAAAGTCAGCGCCACGCGATCTCTGCAGCAAGGAGATATGCGCTACATGGGAGAGGAGGATAGTGGCTCGGACAGGTACCCGAGACACTCGTTTGGGCAAGACAGCCGCTATCGCGCGCGTGAGCGTGAGCCCGAGAGCACGAGCAAGTACCGCAGAACGTTTAGGGACGACCCCAAGGGCGCGGAACTGGGCACCCACGAGGACGTGCACATGGCACGGCGCCAGTCGACCAGCTCTAGCACAGATAACTACGACAGACATAGTGCGGCCGAGAGAAGTCGATGGGAATATTCTGACCTTGAACGTATCTCTTCAGCTCACGGATCGGGCCGGGGAGGTGGACCAAATAGTGCACTCACACCACCTGTTGGGGGCATCAAGAGCCGAAGTCGCAGCCCAAGGCCACACCCTTACGCACAAACTAACACTGATGGTAGTGCTGGCTTGGGAGGCGACACCAATGGACGTAAATACATGGAGACCGCCTACGATCAGAGGAAGTCGTATTCGAGCCCACGGTATATGGATACGGATGCGCGAACTAGCAGAGAGGGCGCTGATGAGCACGACGAAGAGCATGCCTGTGATTGGGACGGGTGCCAGTGGACTGGTTCTCTCGAGGGTCTCCTGGCACACATGCGCGGCCACACACTGAGTAATCTGGCGGTACCCCCTAGTGGGACTCGCAGTCGGAATGGGTCAACCAGCGGGGCGAAGAACGGGGCGAAGAACGGTACAAATCCCGGGAGGACTAGTGATGTGGAGAGATCCAATGACTCGCCGATGACCTCACCTCATCTCGATAGGCGGCGCAATCCTGACGAGAACGCGTCAACTTCCTACTATGCATACAACCGTGAACCACTGCCTCCGGATAGTATGTCAGCATACAATGACACGGCAAGCGTAAGGCCACAGGATACAGCACCACATGCAGCTCAGGGGTCTGGCGGAACGGATGTACAGATCCGATTGCCCGGTTCCCCGATGTCCATGAGCATGCCGCGGTCGTCTAATACGAGCCCACAGAAGTTGGCTCTTTTGCAACCGGAGTTGCGACAACCGAGCTCACCCGCTCTTGTGCATCCAGATGCCGATACGACCAGGCCACGGGGTGATATGACCGCCAATGGGAATGCGGCCGGCAAGGACTCTCACAAGATAGCACTCCGACTGTCTGCAGATAAGTATACCACTACCCCCGCATCCCGGAACGGACCAGAATACATGCCAGAAGCGTGTAGTTCTACCCCACGTTTGGGGTCCGAGGACACGCGTATGGCACCATTACCCTCCTATCCAAGCATCAGTGTAGACGGGCGTCAACACAGTCCGGACGATACCGGCACGGACATCGCTCGCCACAGGAGCGCCGGGAGCTCGCGCAAATCTATGGGCATGGCCTCTCCCACAACCAACGGCCGGCTGTCTGTGGGCGGCGATCGAGTGGTCGAATCACGCCAAAGCTACTCCAGTGCGTCCCACCGGGCCGCTGGGGCAACTCCGGATCTGGATTTTCAGGAGACGGCATGCGACTGGGATGGTTGCACTTACGTCGGGGTGGATATCATCAATCACATGCGTATGCACGCGCTCGCAGGTGTGCCAGTGCACGGGCGGGGTCGTGGTGGGTCTCGGGGCTCGAAGAACAGCAGCGCCAGCTATGCTATGAGAGTTTCTAATGGGAATAGTAGTGGAGTATCTGGGTATGAGCGCGATTTGCCGTCGGTAGATAACCGGGAGGCTGCCACGAGAGGCGAGTCCAGCCCCCGTCAGCGCGTGAAGCGCTCACGCTCGCAGGAGGTGAGATCATCGCCATATCCTGTGTCCACCGGAAAGATGAATGCTTTGGCCAATCCTGACTCCAATTTGAGCAGTGATAGAGATAGAGGATTGGCTACGGACGGAAGAAGAGAAGACAGAGAGGGTTCGTTCGGGAGAGGTGGGCCTGCAAGATCGCCTATCTCTAAGCCCAGGGGCTATCAGGGGAGTGGCGATGGAGAGCGGATGCAGTACGAGCTCGAGCCTGTGAATGGAACGGATAAAAGTGGCGATGTTGCCAGGAATCGTGCCAGGCTGGAAGACACGCACCTGCATTCAAATGCGAGGCGTATGCAGACATACACACCAGGACACTCCCAATCTCGTTCACTAGTTACCGTCCCGGCACACCGTAGCGAGAGTATGGGTATGTATGAAAGGGAGGATATCAGGCATATCCGTGATGGTGGTTCAAGGCCCGCATCCATGGAATTGGAACGAGGCTTCGATAGACACGATAGTAGTGGAATTAGTGGTCCCCCGCCCAACAGAGCGAGCTACAGGTCTTACTCTACTACCCCAGGTCCCTACACGTCTGGGCTGACTCATGAGCAAGCTCCTGCTGAGTATTACAGCAGTCGAGAGGGTGGCAGATACAGAGATGATAATAGGTATGTGAACGAGGAGAATGGATACGGCAACCGTTTTGGTGAGACCGTTCGTGAGCAGTATCCTACTAGAATCTGGAGGGACCAGGAATACAATGGCGGTGCGCGATCGCCCGGGGCCGTTGATGCGAATCGTGAGCGTGAATACGCACATGAGGAATTAGCACACGCGTCATCACGTATCAATGTTAGAAATGATGGATCGGAGAGACATGGGGGTGGGTTTGTTGATGGACCGTCGACGCATTCGTATCAGTACTCTCCCAGGTCGGAGCGCAAGCCTTATGTACGTCAGGGATACGATGTCCGCATTCCGCAGGGGTTTGAGCGTGATGTAAGTACCAAAGCATATCAGGAACAACATGACAGAGAATCATTCGATCATCGAGAGAGAAATACAGACAGAGACGACGCCTTACATCGGCGACAACCCTCTGATAGTCAAGCGCATTCCACAATGAGAGGAACTCCCCAGGATGGAGCAGGAAATGACGACAACGTCAGGAATGGTGCACGAGATTCTACTGCGCGTGACGGTGATGTAGATATCGAGACGTGTGATTGGGATGGATGTGGTTTTAGGGGGACGATAGAAGATTTAATCGGACACATGCGCTCACATACACTGTCTAGTCTGCCACCACGCAGGAGCAAAGCGCCACCCAATCCTGCGCTAGCACCATATCGAACGGCTAGGGCGGAGACAAAAGTCAGCGAGAAAGGGAATACGAGCGAAAAGGAAATCACATCGAGCCAGATCCCAGTACCACGGGTAGACGTGACTGATAAGTAGGGCGTGCGGCGCTATGCGACGTCATGTATGGACAGATTGAACGAGATACACAGACGGATGAAATGTAAATATAGAAATAATCACTGAGATACACATCGGTGTCAGATCGGCCTAACGATTAAGCGGTGTCGAAACGATATCTTTTCCATACGCTTTATGCGCTCAAGCGATTCATGCAGAGTTCACACTCGTTGAGTTCGCGAGAGAGATGGGATGTGCTCTGTGATAATTAAATATCGGTATCTGGTTCAAATGCGAGGCAAAATTTGTTTGCACCGTCTTGCATTCTCTTTTACAACATGGAAATTAGCGAATACTGAGCTCAATATACTGGACCACGAGCTATCGGAAGACATATTTGATATGTCACCGCATGCTTGAGTGTGTTGCAAATCTAAAATTATGGTTTAAAATGAACATAGACAAGTACAGTAGTCGTAAATATTTGCTTAATATTCTATTGCACATGATTGGCAAAATTCGTGCATAGTGCGCATCGTAGAGGCTTCGGAATAGTTTATTGTGCCGTTTCAAAATTGTTCAAATGTCACCGCATGCTTGAGTGTGTTCCAAATCTAAAATTAAGATTTAAAATGAATATAGACAAGTGCAGTAGTCGTAAATATTTGCTTAAAATTCCATTGCACATGATTGGCAAAATTCGTGCATAGTGCGCATCGTAGAGGCTTAAGAATAGTTTATTTGTGCCGTTTCAAAATTGTTCAAATACCAATACAATAAGGTTCTTTCAGAGAACATAAGGGCACATAGTACTGAAGAATGTAGTACATATAACGGCAAGTATACGCTTTAAAAGAAATGAATAAATTTTACACCCTCAAATCATACATATAACATCAACCGCTCAGGGTCAGCGACCATATGTAACTAATGTTCAGTATTAGCGCTGTGTATACATTATGAGTGTCAGTGCCAGAAGGAGCTCGATAGAAATGGATGAGATAGCTAAACAGCATAGCAATTCTGGTAAAATACTGGCTCTAACAGTTAATTACAGATAAGAACATATTTCTGGGCCATTTAATAGTATACGATCTCTAAGAAATATTAGAATTTCTTGCTACAGATTGGGTTGGATTTGCCAGGCATATGCTATTGAATCGTGTATTCTATTCTATCCAGACTTGTAACTTAAACGGTCTCGAGGACACCAGTTCCGGCAAGTGATGGCACCAGGTAATGAGTAGTAGATGATCTAACGTGGTTCAGCAGTCCTTGAAAGAGCTAGCACTTATATTTCATTTTATTATTCACTTAATTACAAATACAAATGATGTTCCTTCCACAGCTAAATCGATGCAATTGGCTGTATGTACGTATACTCACAATACGACTTCAAAGCTTCCAGAAACCAGTCTTTCAACGCCTGGTGTACACCATCTGGACGTTTTTATTAGCGTAGTTTTTCCTTTTCTTTCAAATCATCAGGTAGACGTGTTAAGAAAACTTTTCTAGGTTCAATTACATGTGAAATATTTAGGTTACCTACCCTGGATGGCTTAGGATGTAAATAAAATAGCATCAGTGGTTCCGTCATTGTAAGGAACAGAGAGGTCAGCATCATTACTCCATTAGCCAAACCCCTGCTTATAGAAAAATGTGAAGGTATGCAAAACTTATATACTGTGGCTGGGAAACTGTTTGTTCATACAGCATTCCAACATAAGACAGTTGGCGGTGCCAATTGGTGGCAAAAATGTACCTTCAAGATTTACGAACTTACGACGACAATACATCCTCTCTCTCTCTACTCTAGTAGAGAAGTCTGTCGCTGTTTCCGGTGAAACACAGCTCCCGTGTGTGTGTGAAACATGAATTGTACAGTTTCTCAAAAAAAAAAAAGTAAACAAAAACACGGGACTTGGGGCCCCGTTGGGGGCTTGGCTTGCCAGCTTGGGCCCTTGGGGCCAGGGGCCCAGGGGGGAAAGTTGAAATTGGGAGCCCAGAGAGGCAGAATGGCAGAATCTCCAGTGCAACATTCCTTTTCTATTCGTAGATTAGAGCTTTTTTAATTTTAAATAAAGAACAGGTATCTTTTCAGATTTACTCATTATTCTTGAGTTCCGAGCTCAAGACTTCGAGACCATTCCATAATGCATATTTTAGTGCTTTACACCAATAGAATCTACAATATGACATTCCAAAGGAAATATTGCAGCAAAAAAAATATCCGACAATAGCTCATATAAAAAAAAGTGTTTTGAGGCCTCCAACATTCACAGTCCCACACACGCATTTAAAATATATATAGTATTTTTGTAAATATACGATTTGAGTGAAAAAAAAAAAGGTCTAAAAGTTGGGCTCAAGCCTCAAAGTCTTGAAAGCAGGAGTTTGTCAGTCAGGTGATTCAGGTCACTCAGGTGACTCAGCACTCAGGAGTCAAGAGTCAGTCCTCAGTCCTCAGTCAGCTCAGGAGTCAGCAGCAGAAGTCAGACTTCGTTTCCAGTCCACGGCTCGTCGGCTCCCCACTCCCCACTCCCCACTCCTCAGTCCCCGCTCCACCGACAAATCGACCACCGTCCAGAACTCCAGGCGTCCGTGGACTCATTATGTACAGAATTTACAGTTTACACAAGGGCCCAAGCCCCAATGCCCCAAGCCCTTTAGCTCCAAACTCCAAACTTGTCCAATGTCCACGACGGCTCTACTGACCAGTGAGACACTGAGGCAGTGACCAGTTGACCACTCACTGTCCCAGTCAGTCCTAATATAATCCTACTCTAATACATTTTTTTAGAACAAACCCACCCGGTGCCTTGGTCGTCGACGTCGTCTCTCGTAGTCTCGTCTGTCGTCGACTTGTCGGACCGTCTCTGACTCTCGGTGTTCCGTCGCCTGTGCGAGTGTGCGCCTGTGCGGTTTGTCGGATGTCGACTCAGGTGAGTGGGAGCCAGGTCTCAGTTTATGACTCTCTGCTACATATAAATAATCAGGTGCAGACCGAGGAACACATAGAAATAAACGTCATACAATCGAACCTTTTTATATCCACCTCAAATTACGGTGTTTACCTCTTTTTGTGTCCAGTTTTTATTTGGGCCGACTTATATGTGAGTCAGGCCCTTTTAGAGCCCGGTCTATCGGCCTGTCCCTCCTCGGGTCTTGACGCTCAGTGAGACTCCTCTAAGAGACTCAGACTCGGCACTTCTGAAGTCGGAGCCCGTTTGTATACTAAATTTATATGTACCTGTGTGTAAACTATTCACAACATTTATAGCTTAGCTTGTAGTAACATCTAAGTACATACACTACTACCTATTAATTTCTGATGCAAGACACTTCTAGTGGTGATCGTTGTTGTGTGAAAGAATGCACGATCACGCAACCAACGTCAGGTGCACACAAGTGTACTGGTTGACCGCAATATGCATGCAATTTGTGGCGTGCACATTGGCGAAGGGTATAGCTCAATGGGTTACTGCTTGTCTACAGATAAATGCCAGGCACCAGATTATCGTGGTGATTATTTGTTCTATAATGGCACACTGACAACCAGACAACTCGACACAAACTGCATCTGTAGCAATCGAGCCAGACAAAACAACAGACTACTGAATTAGAGTGCCTTTGGTAGCTCCATATCTGTCCCACAATTCAGTTCCTGAACCTGGCAGGGTGAACCTGAACCAGGCGTGTCTATCTCTTTATATGTCCAATTGTTTTGCTAAAACGGGAACTGGACATATAAAGAGGTTCGACTGTAGTGCATATTACTATTTTCAACGTTTTATACACGTATTTTTGTTATACTCAGGAGTCAGGAAGATTTACCCCGGGTGTTTCACTGGTTGTCTGTTTTTTGTTGAATAACAAATAAGGACATGTTCGGAACTTCAGATTGGCTTTTGTAATTTAGGGTTTATTGTGGTACAAAATCGAAGGCAGAATGCCGGTGAGCCGTGACTCCGTGAGACCGAAAAATAGATAAAAGTGAATAAATACAAACAGTCAAACACAGAAACAGATACAACATGAATGTCAATATTGGTTTTGAAAAAAAATGACTTCCTTTTAAAAAAAAGAAACTGAAACTAAAGAAGAGTTGTTTGTAAACTTTTTTTTCAAGAACAAAAGCATTTGTTTTGTAAACATAATTATTGTTGTGGCTGTCCGATTGTCCGATGTCTGGGCGATGAAGGGGCGATGTGCGATGTCTGATGGGCGATGCATGACTTGAGATTTCATGACCCTCTCCCTCTCTCTCTATCCCTTTATAGAGAGAGAGTATCAGAGTATGTAGAGAGAAGATTTAAAATCTGTAAAAAAGCCTAATCCATAGCTTTCTGAAAATTAAACATCGGACAATGTAAATATTGTCCGAAGGACAGAGATTTGAATTTCATTAAAATATTCATAGGTTTTCAACTTTTCAATGTTTTCAAAATTCATAGCCTCCTAAATTAGTAATTACACAAAGGGTCAAATGTAGGGGGGGGTTTTAAAAATAATAATGTAATTTGCACTTTCATATTTACAACATACAAAAATAACATGGCCCTCCGGATTTGAGTCTCCGCTAAATTTACGGTCGTCGGAAAAAACCTGATTCCTGATCGAGACCCAAATCCAGAGGGCCATGAAAATTCAAAATACTAGTGAAAATATATAAAAAAAATATATATTTTAGAAAATATTTGGCTGTTGGCGTGTGTGCATAAAAAAATGCACACTGCACAGAGGAGCTTGTAATTTTAAAATAAATAAAATACTATGATATTTCGTTTCACTTCACGGTAAATATAAAAATACATACTAAAATAAATATTTTTACATACAATTTGAGTAGCTTTTGTCACTGTGTCACAGCAATTTAAAAATCTGTACATTGTTTTCAGATTAAAAATTCGGGGGGGTGCGACATCGCAAACTTATTAACTACATACGGGACATAGGCCTTTTAGGGCTACTGGCTTTCGGAAGATGAATAGAAGCTTGAATCATTTTTAAATACTACTAACGCGGGGGATAAACAAGTCATTTTAAAAAATAAAATAGTTAAGTGAATATTGAAAGCTTGAAAGAAGAATATCTACTACAATGAAGTCATTACAGCTGATTTCACTGCTAATATGCATTTTCTCTTACTTAAAAATAGTGCAAGCACAAGCCGACTGCGGCGTGAATGGAGCGCAACTAGCAAATCTTAATACAGCGTGTATATGTAAATCGAGCTATTCGGGTGCTAACTGCGAGACATCTTACACAGATCCGGCCACAAATTGCCCAGCATCCTGGGGAGCCACGATGGTGGACGGTGCTCTGAATGTAGATACAAGTGGTAATTTGGCGACGCAAGAGACGCTCGTTACCAGTGAGTTCATCAGGTGGGCGGTATCGATACCTGTAAACTCTGATAGAACTTATACCGATGTGATAGTGGGTACTTGTGTAGACGGTACCAGCCTTGCAGAATTCACACACGCAGCTATGTCTTGTTTTGATGTGCTTTACTTTCAGATGGCAGTAACAGATTTGAGGTCATGCGGATTCTCCTATGAGAACTCGATAGTGGATAACATACAATATGCCAATTACACAGAACAAATTGAAATACGATATACTGAGAAAACTGAACTAGCTGGCAATATACTTGATCGAACAGCAAACGTGTACTTGCCTACGAGCGTCTTACTACAGAATCAAATTACAGTTACTGCGACCGCCGTGGAAGTGTATTCGCCATTCCAAATAAGCTCTGCGCTAGTCACACAGAAAATATCACCGGGGGCTTCTGCATCGTATCTTACACTAGCCTATGCTCTAAGTCTCCCCTATGCTGTAATCTCCATGAATGGGGATATAGCTGCCGACGGCGGTAATCTGAATGTTGCTACATTATGTACAGCCGATGCCGGCGTAACGCCATGTGGAGGAGCAGGATTCCCGGCCGACCCATGTACATTGGCCGACTACGACAACAACAACAATGGCTGTATAAGACTAGCATACATACAGATATTACACGGTCAGTGTGAACTGACAGGGTCTTATATCATCGACAATGTGGTAATCGACTGCTACCAGGATCTCCCCGAAGAAGATTGCCCAATCAACCAAGCTAACGCTGATACAACTATAGTATTTTCGCTCGAGACTGAAAACTTCTGCACAGGAATGTCAGGACAAGTTATGATAAATGATGCAGTGAGCATTGAGCGGTTCATTTTCGTAGACCCAGAGAATAGAGAACGAGGCGGGATCGCCTGGAGTTACGTAGACTCTCAGGGGAATACAGTGAACAAACCGGACGCCGATACACCTATAGAGGCGTTGGAGTGGGGTGCACCGTTCTTCGGTCGAGTAGATTTCACGGGGCTGAAAGTGTACGCGGTAGATCTGGTCAGCAGCCAAATTCAATTATACGGTAATACAGGGTTTTCACCGACCACCAATCCGCCCGTTTGGAGCGACCAAGTTGACGTGGATCCACTTGATTATGTATACACACGACCTGTGGCGGGGTACGAAGACACCCTCGCATGTAAGCATCTGGGACTATGCTTCGCCACTCAGTCGTTCCTGATTCAGCACACGCTGGGTTCGACACTTTTAGATACATTGCCCAATCCCGGACTGGGATACTCTATTTCCATGGAGCTTCGCTTGTTGTTGGACGTATCATACGAGATAGATGGCGCATTTGCCGGTGTGCGAAGGCGCAGACAGCTGAGCAGCGTAGGGAACGGTCCAGCAATTGCAAGCACCGGCGCAGATATGTTGGGGCGTGATGTTGATAGCATTGAGAGTGGAGCTTTCAATGCTGCTGAGAAAACAGCCCCGTCACGCTTGGCGGCGTTGTGTCTGGTCAGTCTGATCTCAATCTTCATAATATGTTAAAGTGATCTAAGGGAAGTCGTAGCAGCGATGAGGCGGACGTTTCTTTTAAAACAAGGCCTGGTGTTAAAAAATATATCAAGGGATGAGCACTTTCTCGACTGAGAAAACGGCCCTGAATACCGCACGCTGCTAGCGAAGAGCAAATATTAGTTTCTAAAAACAAAGCAATGAATATGAATGGCTTGAATGCAGTGCATCAGTCGAAAATTAAACAATCAGTAATGTTTAACTTATATAACCTGAATCTTTTCCATCAATAACTTCACGTTCTAATTTAGTCGCTTTCGCAATTATTGCTATCTAACTCTCGAGTCCAAGGGAATATGAAGGCTTGAATGCTGTGCATCAGTCGAAAATTAAACAATCAGTAATGTTTAACTTATTTAACCTGAATCTTTTCCATCAATAACTTCCCGTGCTAATTTAGTCGCTTTCGCAATTATTGCTATCTAACTCTCGAGTCCAAGGTCATTATTGGATACTCTACACTTGCTCAAAGTAGAGGTTGTATCGTGGAACTGAAAGCGATTGCACCATAGTGTCAGGCCAAACATATACAACTCACCTGCACCACTATGTATTTTTCTCTCGATTGAGTATTACGTCTGCCTGCTGTCTGCATATCTATGGAAGTATCATAATAGGACACCTGTGTATCATATAGAAGGAAGGTGCCAAATAATCACTCAATTCATTGTTGCGCGAGTAAATACTAAATAGGTGACGTACTAGCACTGTGGACAATATGCGCACATTATTCACGCACTGTGCGCTGATCTTTTACGATTTTACTGTGGATCCAGTCAATGTTTTCGAGGAGTTGTCCTTGAACTTGCACACTTTACTTGAATGGCACAGTCTTTTTAGACTAGTGTGCATTTGCAAATCCGGAGGAGGCTATGAAAATAGTCAACATACCGTATGTAAGCAAGAAGCAAAAGTCTACAGCCAGCAGCCAATCAAAATTGTACTACTAAGATGACGTACATACAACAGCATGTGCCACACTTTCGATTTCTCACACATTTGTACAAAATTCTCATGTCACAACTCATCACAGTAGTATTTATTTGTAAACAAATATATATACACTATATCTGCCTGCGACGGCTTATTGAGTGGTTCAAGCGAGCTACAGCGGAAGATCAAGGGGTTGAATACACCAGCAACGATAGCACAGTGATACAAAGTAAGCACAGGGCTCATATATTTTGGTTATGTCGGCTTCCATGAAACCCGGCCACCTGGGCCGTCTGATCAAGACCGCCATCGTGCAGAAAGGACCTCTTACCACTAACGAGCTCGTGGCAGAACTACCCTCAAGTCAAGTTCAAAGCAAAGCTTGGCTGAAAAATAAAGTCCTCAAACATATGAAAGCTAAACGAGAGGTATGTTTTCCATCAGATTGATTATCGGTAATTGATGTGCTGCCCAGTGGATACGCACCCTCACACAGTGTACACACACACACACACACGCACACACTTACAAACGCACACACACATACATACACATGCAATACACATACATACATATACACACACACATACACACACACACACACAGACACCACACTCTCTCACACACACACAGAGAACACACACACACACACAGAGACACC